GGCCAAATTTAATCAATATTTTTAAAATTTTTGGCAAAATTATAAAAAATTACATAAAAATAATATTATTGGCTAAAAAAAAACAAAATCACATGATAAAATTATTTAAGAGATCAACATTTGAAAAAATTTTTTTTATGTTAACTTCAAAATTTATCGAAATTTTTACATAAATTGATCAAAATTTATCGGAATTTTGTATAAATCAATTGAAATTTATCATAATTTTTGCATAGATCAATCAAAATTTTTACTTTAAATTGAAATAACTTTACATATCCCTGACTCACATACATACGTGAAATCTACAGACAGTGCTTAGAAACAGTTCAATCACATGATATTTCATAAAATCTAACTGCTAACAAATCACAACTCAATCATATAAATTAGCACTTTCCGTAGATTTCCCGATTCACATATTCAAAAAATTAATTTTTTACTATTTTTATAACAGTTTTAAAATTACACGATCTGAAATTTTTTTGGGTGTTTATTTAACCCGGTTGTATAAATGCATCTATCATTTCAACTTGTATTTAGATAATTTTCATCCATGATCGGGCCTGAATTATATAATAATTTTTATGCCTTATGTCATTTTAATTCTTCCCATTTGGTGCTTAAAACCCGAGTATTACATATTATTCTCCTGGCTTGTTTTAATAAGACTTGGGCTTGTAACTATATTAATCATTATTATTTTTATGAATATCCTCGAATATATACCCAGTTCTATACAAAGTACCTGTGTAGTAATTATTTTGTTCTGTGGGCTGCGCATACTTTCTTTTTTTTTATGGCGGTTTGCAAAAAAGGGTGACCCTGTGATTTCGTGATGATGATCGCGATCAATAACGTTTATATGATATTCGGAATCTTTAAAATTTTTTAAGATTAACATTATGATCTACAGAGGTCACACCTTTTTGCAAACCGCTATAATGGATATGCGGGTTCTGAACATTTTTTATACGAATTTAAATGTAACATTGTATGAAATTAAATATCATTTTGTACGAAATTAAATGTCCTATTGTACGAAATTGATCTCAAAAAGGATATATCCACTTTACAGAAACTTAGATATCTTAATAAATACGTAGTAACTGCACAATAACGACGTAGTAATTACATAATTACTATTAAATTTAATTATATCTACATAGTTACTATGCAGTTACTGGGCATTAAGAGGTTCAAAGTTTCTGTATAACAGAGTTGACTGTATAAGACAATACATAAGAAAACACATAAAAGTGCATGTTAATACATGCAGTATTTCATGGAATCCACGCTAGAGTTGGAACCGGTTTGCGAATTTGAGTTTAAACCCGATTCGAATATAAAACCGGGTTTTATTTTTTCTAATTCGAAAATCGAATTTATTAAACCGGTTGTTTCGCAAAAATCGAATTTATTAAAACCGGTTGTTTCGCCGGTTGTTTCGCAAAAATCGGTTTTAATAAAACCGGTTGATTCGCAAAAATCGATTCGCAAAAATCCTGTTACACGCTTATTTGTAACTTTGTTTATAACTCGAAAATTTTACTAAGATAATCTCTTTTGCGTTACTAATAAAAAATGATCCTCTCGCAATTTTGTATTAATCTTGACACTAATTTTAAATCTAACCTAACACTAATCCTAACACTAACCCTAACCCTAACACTAACCCTAACACTAACCCTAACGTTAACCCTAACATTAATAGGCTGTTACAAATAAGCGTGTAACAGGCTGTTACAAATAGATTTTTTCATTATATATTAACGATTAAGATATTATAATGATTTAAAATTTTTATTATAAAAATTTTATTATAAATAGTACTCCGCAAAATCAAATCAAAATTGAATTTGAATCAAATATTTTCAAAGGGATGGCGCAAAAAATTTGGCGGTCCCGTGATCATCGGACCAATCAGATCAAAATTAAGCTCGAAAAAATAAGGATGGGTTGACATTAATAAATCAGTTATATCGACTGTTATGCGTGAATTTTTTTTCTATTTTTACCAAATTTTTTTATTCAAATTCGTAATACTGAATTTACACTCCATATTTCGATGCTATTCGATGATTTCCACTATACAAATCATATCATTTAGGGCTCTATAATATCACAGGCTTTGCTATTAAATATAGAGGTTTTTGAGATTTAATCATTGTAATTCCAAATTGACGTCAGCGAAGCGACAGTTACATACTAGTATATATAAAGATTATTTACACAATTATATTTTTTATTGATTTTCACAGCAAATATATACCATATTCTGTCGGTTCAATAATTTTGGTCTGGCTTACAACAGTTCTGACTTAATTGATAGGGCAAGTGGCCATATTTGTTAGCCTTGTTAATAATTAGAATTTTTCAATTAAATAGATTATGTCTGTACATTTAATACTCGTTTTCGCGAATATTCAGAACAAATATTGGGAAATAAATATCACTGCTAAATAAATATTTTTTGTAGGGTTTACTGTATTACTAATGATTATTCTTTAAGATATTGAGAAAAGATGACAATAGAAAATATATTAATGTTTAAGCTATAGCGAATAGATTATTGCAATCTTGATAAAAAAATTTATTTTGTGAATTAATTAACATAAAACTTTTAGAATTTTTTATTAATTTGAAATATTTCATATTCCTCAATTGAAAAATATGATGCATTTTTAATTCGCTTTTCATAAGATCTTTGAACGTTCCAACAACCATTATTTTGATTGGAATTTTTTGAAAGGTAAAGATCACAACCACGACCAAAACCTGGATTTGGATAATCTAAGTTAGGGTAGTTGTAAATTGCATATTCTTGCTCTTTTATACGACTTAAAATAGAGCTTTTAATATCACCATTTTTCAATGAAAAAATGAAGCTCTTATTGCAATTCCTATAATGATTGATTGACATATCCCATCCAATAGGATTATATCCACCAAGAATTTCATTAGTTCCTTTAACCTTCATAACTAAAACAATATTTTCTTTCTTATCACATAAATACCAAAACGAATCAAGAGTAAAACCATCTCTTGTTCCACGAATAAATAATTTAAATTCATAAGGATTATTCGTTACAGAATAAGGATCAACTTTTTCATCAATCCAAGAAACAATTTCGGCTGCGTGTGCATCACTAATGACTGTTGAAAATGGTTCAATAGTCCTATTTGGTAATGTTTGTGTCAAAACTATACGAGGTGGAAGAATTTTTGAAGATATCGGCAGATCTGAAGCCATAAACTTTTTCATTATATCCTTCCAAAGGTTTTTTTTCAAGAATTTGTTGATATGGTTGAACTTTACTAATAATGTCGTTATTAGACATTTGAAAATAACGGATAAGAGGTAGGTAATTCTTTAAGCTAGTCTTTAAAGCCAGAAAATTTTCAAGAGACCAATCCTCGGTGTCGGACGGTAGACCAGGATTTTGAGCTTTTCCCCATTCGATAACGCGATCCCAAATTTTTACTTCATCCATTTGTAAATCATCTCGACCAATAAGTGAGACTAAAGCATTTTCTTGAATTGAAAGGAAGTCTTCAGAGTCAAAAATTTTATCAGGATACTTTACCAAAAAATCATTGCACCATTTTTGTAATTCTTGAAGCTTGTTACTTTTAAAACTTTTTTGATAAATATGGGTAAAATGTAAACGAAGCCAATGAGCTTCTTTTTCAACTAATTGTATTTCAAGGTATTTGGCCAATTTTTCAAAAAGAAGTTCGCATGCAGTAAGCATAAGCTCAAAAATAAATGATGCATCATGTTTTTCAAGTAAGACTTCACCTCCGTATATATACCTTTGTATAAAAATTTTAAGTATATTTTAGAATGTTTCTTGTAATACAATATATATTAAGAATCATTATATAAATAACTTACTTGATAATAATTTCAAATTGTTGAATAGAAACATTGTTTAAATTAATTGTTTTAATATTATTTTTATCTTTATTAATATTTGCTAATTCATTACGAAAATATGAAGACCTATATCTTAAAATTACTGAATGTGCCTGGAATGCTTTTGTATTCGGAGATTTGCCAACATTAATTACTGTATTAAAATCTTCTTTGTCGTCGAGAATCTCAAGATAATTATTTGAAAGTTCTTCAAAAAATTTTACTGCCATTTATAAAAGTATGTACGTAATAATATAAAATTCAAAAAAAAAAAAGCTCCAACATGCGTAACAATATACAGTTGTATAAATAGCCCTATGCGTTGACGAAGTCAAACTAGGGTTATTATTGCGAGGATCACCGCTTGTGGCTTATATGAATTGAGGTATACGTATGTGCCAGGGAATGTATGAGTAAGACAATAGAGATGCATATGATTGTATGCGATAGATGCATGTGAATAATATTATTGATATTGTTGGGTTCGGATTAACTGCGACTCGGTCGCTCCACAATCCAAAAACTCGCGTAACCTGCGGTAAGTAACCTTACGAAAGAGGCGTATTAGATTTGGCTGGTGGGTGATTAAGGCTTCAGTTACTTGAGGTCAACGAAAGCAGGTCGGTTAAGTCACGTGATAAAGGGTTCAGCAACAACGATGTTTATGACGGTTATATAGGGTTTATCAGGGTATAGTGTTAGTGTATTATTTATTGGGCGATTGTATAATAATTGGGACTTATTATTTAATAAAGCAACGAGCGAATACTGCTCTTGAGGGCCAATTCGGCCTTTATTTATAAGATGAAATTTAGTCGCTCACAAATGCGACTTCACAACTAATATTTAATAAAACTATATAAAACTAATTATATTTATTTTCTTTAATGTTTTTAAGAATGTTTAATTTCTACTGATATCCCCCCTTTATCCTCCCATATACCCCTTTAGATCTAATATGCCATTCCCGATCCAAAATGTAATTAATTGCACTTCGTGCATTTTTCACGTGACCGATTACTGGGTCCTCGTGTTACATTCTGGGACTCACAACATGTTTTTTTACATAACAATTTTATCAATGACACTCAATGAATTAGCGCATTTAGCTTATGAAATGTACTGTTACACTCAAGCCATCTCTAAACAGTTCGATGCAACTGGGCGTTGATAATAAATAAATGCTTGGCTTTTAATCTTGGCAGTTGAATAATTACAAGCTTCATTTAAGAGGCATTAGAAGTGATTTGTCTCACAAAAGAAGATACAAATAGTCGTTTTTAATAATCAAACAATAAACTAAACAAAGAAGAAAATCTCTTCACGACTATCACTTGAGCACTCTTAACGATTGTAAATCATGATCTACTAGTGTATGAAGACACAAGTAAGGAATTTATTTAGGTAATTATGATCTGAATGATGATTTTTATTGAGGCGAGAATTAAGGCTTTAAATATATTTTCGATACATATAATTTTACACTATTCAACTATCGGGTTTTCTTCTATCCTTTAATTATTACACACACCTTATCATTTACCATTAATCCCTCCTTTTCTAGTTCTTGTTTATATTGGGATGCTTCCCTCCTTATCTGTTATGTAATTATCATGAGATAATTAACTTTAAGCCAGTAATCGCGTTTTCAGAACAACGGCGATTTATAATAAGGTGTGCAATATTAAGTACAATTCCAAGTGGTTATTTCCACTTAATCATCGAGGCAGTGTAGCAAGTTCCACCTAGACAAGGGATCCAATTCGTGTTTAAATAGCAACTTTTCATCACGTGACAATTTCTATATGGATAACTATATACTAGTGCGATGGGTGGCGCGTTCGCGCCACCCATCTTAATTATAGTAAAAAGGTGTCTAAGTATTTTTGTTTGTTTGTGTGATGTCTTTATGAATGTTTTTATGGGTTATTACTGTAAGTCTTTTATGTTTTATATATGGCTTAATTCGTGTTGAGTTTTTTGTAGTTTTTTTTTTAGGTAAATTTGTTGAAGTTTTGATGGTAGATTTTTTATTTATATTTATTTAGAGTTTTTTAAGTTATATTTTTGTGAATAGTATTTGTGAATTTGTTAGGTCGGTCCCCCAAAGTATTGGTTACATAATGAATACTTATATGTTTCTAAACTCCAAGAATCGTAAATTGCTCATATATTCCAATAATCATATATTATCATTTCCTGATTGGCGAAGATTCATTATGTGACAGTACTTTGTGGGGGCTGTTTTGGCCAATTCAGTATTTGTCAACGCTTATTTTGGAATTATACGTTTTAGCATTTTCGCAGGAGTTTATGTTAATTATAGGTTGTTTTCGAGTGGGTTTGTATTTGTAATGTGTGATTTGTATTGTGTTTCATCATTATTAGGTAATTATTGTATTATTAATTATTCGTTCTATTTGTTGGTGGGAAAATTCAATGTTATTAGTCTGGTTAAAGTTTGTATGACTGTTTTATGATGTAATGAGGTTTGGCGGTTATTTATGTACGTGTATTTTAAAAATAAATCTATTAGTAAGAGTTTTTATTTTTTGTTTAACAAAGCGATTTATTCGCCTTTGATTTATTTTTTTATATTAATTTGGTAACTAAACTATTTAATTTTTAATGAGGACATAATCGTTTTTTTATAAATTGTTGTAATTTGGTAATTCTCGGTAAAATAGAATTCGTGATTGAATTGAATTTCGATTACGTTATTATGATCTATTTTTTTTGTTTGCTTTGTGGTATTTTGCTGTTTTATATATATACTTATTCGTCGGTTATGTTTTGCATTGAGTTTTTATACTTTTTATATGAAATTTTATGATGCCGTGTTACGCAGATACTATCGTTAGAATTAAATATGTGAAGCAAAATGTAAATAAAGATATTAATTCGTTGATAGTATGGGCTCTTGGTACATATCCTGTTGATAGTGAGGATTATGATATTGAGATGTCTTTATTTGTGCCGATTAATCAGGCGGATAGAGATCTAGATTCTCAGGCCGTGTTTATTAAAGATAATTTTTTTTCGGTTGGGGGTAAGATTGTACCAGGGTTCTACGAAGGGAATAAAAGAGCGAAGGTAATCGTTTATGTTTTATGATTGTGTGCGTGCTAATTTTTTTTAAAAAATTTTTTTTTGATTTTTAGATGGCAGTTTCTACGTCGACTCATTTAACAATTCATAATAGGGTTGATGCTTCGAATAAGTGTCCATTGAAAATTTCTTTAATCAGTATTCCTCAGGAAATGTCGAATGAAATTAATGGTGATGTTATTATTCAAACTTTGGTGACAGATTATGCCGGGCAGGAGTATAATTTTAGTATGAAAGTTGTTTTTCCGTGTAATCATTTTTGTTTTAGTTTTTTAAAGAATAATATTAGACCCAGAGAGTCTTTTATCTTTGTCGTTGGGCAAATGGAGATAATTAGTAATGAGTTCTACGTGTATGCTAAGGATGTTAATTATATTGATGCTCAGTTTCTTAACAAAAAGAGTATTTTTGGTTGTGGTGGTTCTCAAACTTCATCGTCTAAGAAAAATATTCGTTCTAAGCTTTTGGCTACTCATCAAAATTTCTTAGAAATTTCGAAAGTGAAGTTTGAAGATAAGACAGTTGCTTCATCTTCTAAGAGTGATCACGCGAATAAGTCAGAATTAAGTTCTTCGGATAATCTTTATTCATCAAAACGTGCTCGAGTCGAAGATTTTGATGATTCTGTTCATGGGGGTTCCACGGCTTGTGAAGATTTTACTGAAAGTGCGAATGGAAATTTTGAAAATGATATTTCGATAGGTTTAGATAGTGGTTTTGAGTCAAATTTGGTTAATAGTTCATGTTTACCGAAGCAAGTTCATAGTGATGCATCTGAAGGGTCAGTTGGTGCTTCTTATGTGGAAGAGGTTAATAATCATGAAGATTTTTGTCAGAAAGATGATGCAGAAGGATATGTAAATAATAGTTCTTATCAAAAGAAAAGTAAACATCAGAAGGGTAAAGAAAGCGTGGGATGTACTTTACATTGTAATTTAAGATCTCGCACTTCGGATGCAAGTTTTTCTAAAGTTTGAGAAAGTTTTGTATACGCATTGTTTTTTTTTTGTTTTTAGTATGATGTTTATTTTTGTTATGAATTTAAGAAGTTTTTTTTTATTATATTATATAAACAGTAATAGTTTTATGTAATTGGGTTTGATTTTTTTTTTTGCTTTTATAAATTTTTAATAGTTTTTTTATGCCTTTTTTCATTTATTGTTTTTTGTATTTTCTTGGTTTTGAATAAAAATCAAATTTAAGAATACTTTTGGATTAAATTTTTGATTGCGGTTTTTGCAGTTTTGTTAGAACCAGAGTTTATTTAATAATTCAATTTTTGTTAATGATACATTTATTTTTGATTTAACAAATACTATGTTGGGTATGACATTAATTGTTATTTTAACAGTATTGTTTTTTATCTGCGTTTCATGCGTTGTTATAAAAGTACTTTTGAACAGTACTAATATAAGTTGTTAGCCATTATTTAATCTTGTAAGATTTCTTTGTACACGACATTTCGTGTATAAATGCCCTGTTTTCTAGTAATTTTGCCATCTTTTATTAAGACTTTAATGTTATGATATAGTCGAGTTCGCGAAAAGGCAACATATAGTTGGCCATGAGCGAATACATGCTCCAGTAGATAGAGTCCTACGTGTGGTATAGTCTGTCTTTAAGATTTGTTAATTGTTAGGACAAAAGATAATTTTACTGGAAATTGTTTCCTTTTAAGCGTGAAAGGAAGTTTAATATCTGAAGTTACAAATGTTATCCAAGGGAGAAATACTCATTTTCCTTGTTGATTGCCCGTAGTTATTTCCGCCTCTATAATATTATAATTAAATGTTCGACATATCAATCTGGTACCGTTGCATAAGCCATTAATCGGATCTAAGTTGCGAAGACACATAATGGGTGTATTGGTTTTGAGTTGTAATTCATGAGGAGGTATGTCTGATGTAGTAATTGAGTTGAGAAATTCTTGCTGATAAAGATTACGGATGTCATCGGGAACTGAGTCAAAACTTCGATAAGATACAATTTCACCTGGTAGTTGATTTAACATTTTATCGTTAATATTGTCAACATACTCATTTTTAGTAGTGAGTATGGCTTTGTCGGTGAAGTAAGAAGCATTTAAAGAGCGAACAGATAATGATGGGTATATTTTCTCTATAAGAGTTTGTAATGAATTTTCATTATTCCAATTGATTATCATGTTATTTGGTATGCGAATCATGTTATCATTGATAGTTTCTTCTGTTCCATTTCCAATTCTTATCAAAAAATTATTAAAATTATTTGCTTCAGGATTATTCTCAGTGTGCATATTACGATGAAGACGGAATATTTTTACTTTAGACCATAGGGATGAAGATTTGAAAGTTGCATTTACAATTTGTGCGTGGCTGCCTCATGGGATTACAGGTAAAATTTGGTGAAAGTCTCCACCTAATACGAACATTTTTCCTCCAAATGGGTCATGGTTTTTCATGATATCTTGTAAAGTCTTATCAAGTGCTTCTATAGAGTAGCGGTTCATCATTGAAATTTCATCTAATATTATTAATTTCGCTAATTTGAGTAATTTAGCTAAATTACTCTGTTTGCTAATAGAGCATGTCGAGTTGGAGTTTATATTCAAGGGTATTTTAAATTTAGAATGAGTGGTTTGTCCTCCTGGCATGAGTAAGGCCGCTATGTCTGATGAAGACGTTGCGAGTGCAATTGAGTAGGTTGAATGAACTTTAGCAAGTAGACAAAGATAAAGGAAGGTTTTTCCTGAACCTAAGGTGGTTATAAGTTTATTTCAATGGGTTGATAATAAAATTGTAAAAATTTAATTAGTTTTTTAATACTTATAGTTGTAATAATAAGCTTATTATTTATATTATTTATATAAAACTGTATATACGATTACTATTGTAATTGTAATAATACCTGTGGGTCTATCGACAAAAATTACGATAGGTTTATCTTTTTCAATACCTTCTATTATAGTATCAAATATTAATTTCTGCTTTTCATTTAATAGTCTAATTTTTTCTAAATCTTCAGCTGATACAGGAATATTTAATTCGTTTAGTATGAGTCTTGGTAGTTCATTTGGAAGATCGTATGGTAGAATAAGTGTAGGAAGATCGAAGTCATTTAGACATTTATGATGTTGTTCGAGAAGATGTTTTATGTGAAGAAGGACTGCGTTGATTCGGAGTTGGCCGTCAGGAATTCCATTCTTTGCGAAGTCTTCTGACATATATATATAATTGCTATCCTACAGAAATCTTATATCATTTGGTTTTCCAAACAATAGTATAGTAACAAATAGTTGTCGCAATGCAGAAGGCATTTGAAACTGAGCCGCTTCATACATAGTTTCATAGTACATTCGTTCTGATTCTATAAGTTTTCGTTTTAATGTGCTATTTTTGAACGTTGAACATTGGTAACCATTAATTGTTTTTAAATCATTAAATGAAGTAGCTCCTTTAATATTGTTGAGAAGTATACGTAAATAATAACGTTCTCCCTCGATTGGATTAACTGTGTATATTCTTCCTATCGTTTTTCTCTGGTTACATTTTGTCCATTTTTTAGCTGTTTGATTCCATACATAATAGCGCGGGAATTCGAGATATGTATAATTTTTTGCTTCAGTATCAATTTTATTCATTTCAAAATATTCAGTCAGTATAGTTTTTTGATTTTGTTCATCCGCAAGTATATTGCTCAGGTTTGATTTTTCTGAAAACGTTATGCTTTGTTGGTTAGGAAGGTGTATTTGCAAACGAATTACAGAGGGATATATGTGTGACATGTCGAATCCAAAAATTCTCCAACACGCTTCGGAAGCTGAAACCCATCGACTATCCAGATACTGACTAATCTCATCTCTGTTTGAAATTTCTAAGGATGCACGATCATGTCCTTTATATATATATTTATATAAATATTTGACTGATTTAATGCTAGAGCATATTTCAATATTTATGTGGCAGTTATACTTGAGCGACAGGTAGGGATTATACGGGACAACCCAATGATTATCCAATTTTATATTTTTAATTATTATATATCTATTATTATCGCGCCTGTTATATAAAGGATATGAGTCATCACCTTCTCATGTTTCTTGAATAAAATTTTTCAGATAATGTTTAGCACATATGTCTTTCTTCATACATGGCGCATCACGATTAAAAGATCCACATGGACCGTGAATTATAAAAGAGATGACAGTTTCGAATAATCTGAGTTGTTTTATTGGGTCTGGTATTTCTGCAGATACAAGAGTATCATAATCGTCAGCTTCATGAAGCTTGTCTTCTGGATCAAATATCAATAATAAATGCGCATGCAGAAGTCCATGTTTCTGGAACTCCACCATGTATATGTGTACAATTATACGACCAAGAATGCCTTTGATATAAAGATCTTTTTTATGTTCTTCTAATTTTGCTTTAAAAATTTGAGCTATATGCGTATAAACAATAAATTATTTTTGTAGTTAGATTTATTTGATTTAAAATATATATTTTTTTTTTTTTGATAATAAATTTTTCAGGAATTATCCGTAGACAAAAGTTATATTTTACCTGTAAGATCTGGTCTATCTTGCGGGGTTTGCATTGGCATTAATTCTGATGTAATTTCGGGCCACCAAGGATTACATGTAATAGTGATAAATAAATTTGGCCTTCCATATGCTTGTACCAACACCATTGCATCTTGATATCTCTGGTACATGTCGCGAGGGCCTCCTATAAAGGATGAAGGTAAAACAATGTGGCGTCCCACTTCTGATGTGTTGTTTAATCCAGATTGGAAACAATTTTGTAAGCCTTGGTATACTTCTTTATGTATTTTATTTTGCGTAAATCATAAGTAATTAAGACGTGCACATTCTATCTTAACGTAATTATCAATGACATATTGTTGAAAAAGTCGACCACCTAAAAAAAGTATGGCAAGTAGTTCACGAAAATGCAATTTATATGTATAATATTGTCTGGCTGTAACTTTTTTTTGTGATTCATATTGTAATATATTTGGATGCCAACCATAATCACCTTGGGGGGGAAGTAGTAGATATTGCATTGGGTCATATAACCCACTTAATTCAGAAATTTTTACTAAACCTTTAGATTGTGATTGCACAATTATATCACGTTCTGCATATTCTATTGAGTTATTACCTTCCACCCAGACAGCAGAAATCTGCGAGGCTGTCAGTTTGTTGTAAACACGTTGGTCTAAACCATGATCAGCTCTTATAAGCAAGCGAAGTTCAGCTATATTCATATAAGATGATATAGAGCAAAAATTGATAATGAAAGGATTTAACTGATTCAACATTAATTTGATAAATTCTAAAATATCTTGACGAAATTGAGGCATAACGTAAAGTCTATTAGCCATTTCAAATTTAGTATCATAGATGTATAATTGGAGAAATTTCGGTATTCTATCTATTGGAAGCAGAGATCCAATTAAGTGGTAAATTCCACCTTGTGCCCTAAACGTGTAAACTCCATCTTTATCTATAAAAAAGTTACTACTTAGTCAAGTATAGGGGTTTTTCTTAAAATTAAATCTTATTTACCATTTGCAAGTTTTTTGTCCAATTTTACACCCATCGAGGTAAATGCAAAAGCGCTATTGTAAGCTCTAATATTTACACGAAATTTTTTCCCTATATTATCGCATCTCAAATATAAATTTCTTAGTTCTGTAATATCGTCTGTCGATGCTAGTCTATAATTTATGTATTAGTAGCAATTAGTAGTAATCAATTAATAGTTATAGATGATACAATGCCCAGGCTGTTCAATAGTAATAATTAAGCAATTTACTTAATTTTTCCTGATTTACAACACATTTCTTGTGTTTCAGTTAAAAAAAGCTTTGTGTTACAGTATGAACAAATCTGAACATCCGTAAAGCAGTGTTAAATAAAATCTGTCGTTTCTTGAAAATTACGGCCAATTTTATAATTGCGTTGCTGGTTTTTTGTCGAAGGTTTTGTCTAAATATTTTTATTCGGTAAGCATTGGCAGCTCGTTGTTCCCTAGCCATCCATGATTGAAATTTATGAAGAGGTGGCATCCTTAATGCAAGTATACAGAAAGAGGTAAGACCTATAACAGAATAAATTTTTGTACAATAGTATAGATTAATGGTCAAACATAAATTATTTAAATATTATTATCAACAGCAAATAATTATAAATTAAGTGTATAGATTAATCCATATTAATACGTGAGAATTTGTAGCTTAATATTTTTCACTAAATTCACAATCATATCATTTTTAAATGATAATTACGAAATTATTACACAATTGTGAAAATAGCGAAAGTTGTTATTTATTTATACACTAATGTGGTTAATTTATACATGATATTATTTAAGCGACTATAATCTATGTCAAAATATTAGTGGCATTGAATTGTCGATTCACTCATTCAAAAATTTTATGAAGTCTCAATAAACCATTTATAAGTCACGTGTTTTTATATTTTTTATGTCAAAAAGTTACATATGTCATTTTTCGATCATTACAATTTTTACTATTTTGTCATCATTATCATTTCTATCAATTACTATAAAACACAATGACTCTATTAAATTTAATTACAAATAGCTTATTAATTTATTTAACAATTTATATTAAAATGTAATAATTATTATATTAGAATTTAAAAACATGATACTCAATAGTAATTACGTTTAAAACTGGATACATAACCACACAAATGTTAAAGCATAACTAGATAGTTCTGGTCAATTCAGATCTTGCTGATCCAATTTTCACAATATCTATCATCTATATCATTTAATAAATATTTAACCAATTTACTAAAACGTCGATATTCATAATTCAATTATTTTTTCCCACATTTACTTATTATGACCAATTAAGCTACGTCAAACTATTAATTGTTAATAAACCTGATAAAACTTTGAAATTTTCTATGCACAATTCACGGTTTGTAGATACAACCAATCAAAAATATTAAAACGCATGGACCCAAAATTAAATGATAGAGATTTTTAAAAGATAACAAAAGCTAGCACTCAAATATAGTTAGCAATATTAGAATTAGACAAAAAAATACATAATTTTAAATTACAATATTATTGCTAATGAATAGTACAAAGAATAATTTTAATTTAATTCTATATATTAGTGCTCTTTTTTAACAATATTTAGTTAATATATATGTAAAAGTTGAAGCAATAAGATTAAACTATTAGAATCAAATATAAACTCTTTTCTGTTCTTCTGAAAATCATAGCAAAAATAAAAACAACAGAAAAGTAAACAAAGTATTGATAACAAAACCTACAAAATAAATATTAGTTGTAAATAGAGCATATTTAAGTACAAGCCCAAGCTTCTAAAAGTTTAGCTATAGCATACCAACATAGTACAAAAAAGTTTGAGTAGTAAAGATTTACTTCCCAGTGACAACAGCTTCTTGGAAGCCCCTGATACTATGTCACAATAAAAATCACTCCTCCAATCTGTCTCTGATACACTCTTCAGAACCAATACACTAACTACTACTACTACAGATCCAGAAAATTCTCCAGAAGCCCTTACACCACCAAGTGTACCACCTGCTATAAAATGAAACAACTCTAACAAAACTCACCAACTTCACTCAAAACACAATTCATATACCAAAACAAAAAGTGAACATTCTGGCTTACCCCCAATTGTAAATCAACAAGGATCATGTAGCCCCAACACAACATCTACTAGTTAGCTACACAAAACAACAAACCCTAAATTGAGTAAATCTAAGCTAGTCAACTCAGATCTTATAAAAATATTCCCATAGTCAAATCGAAACTAACCCATAGAGACATTCCCACAGCCAAATTAAAACAAACTCACTATAGTCAACCCACAGTAACAATACAAATAGATATGAACCCAATTCAAATAGCTACTACAGCCCTACAAACAACAACAACCAATAACACAGTATCTTCACAGGTACTTACCTCACCCTGATTCTATAGTCAGCACTCTGAGACACCCTGGCCCTAAGACTTCCGATCTTCAAATTGAACCTACACTTCTATGGAACCAACAGATCATCAATGCAATAACACAAAGAAACTAACTATTTGACAATACAACTTGGCACAATGATGCAATACTAGAAGCCTTGCAAGATAATACAAAACTTGTTGCATTCTTATATTACAAAGTCACTACTCTACCTACCCGTTACAACCTACCTATATTAATCAATGCAAAATTTAACTATCTTGATATCACATTCCTTAAATCCTTTATCAAGAACAAGCAAGCTATACCCCAATATCAAAGAGAGTTTGAAGCACTATTTAATTTAGCTTTAGAAAAATATAAAAGATATCATTAAACTTACTTCATCAATAAGAATAACCGAAATCAAATTATAGAAAAACTTAAAACAAAGATTGCAATTGACTACATCACTAACATTGACTTTCTCAAAACAAACCCATATAAAATTACACACAAACTCTTTTATTGCACCAATTTTGCTTATATCAAAACCCAAGCAGCTTTGAAAAGATTCAAAGAATGATCCATAATACACTAACTAAACAGTTACAACCTCTTCCAGATGCTTCGAAGATATACATGATGATATCAAAGCAATATTACCTTTTGATTTACCAATTAAAAATCGAAACCAGACTAAAGCAATTACCACCACATTTTGAAAAATTTACAAATTCGAGACTTTAACGAAATCATTCTTTGTATAACAATTATTATCTCTCTAACAGATCTTGCCAATTTACAACTGTCAGTTAGAGACCTCTTCCCTATTACAAAGTGGTCTGCACTTCTACACCTATCTGAATACCAAAAAAAGTTAGCTGTACTATACAAAGTAGAAGAAATCCCAAGCAACTACTTCAAACTGCCTGCATCCAAACCTTCTCTTCTCTCAACACCTCAACAACTTCCTTACAATTTGAGAAAATTCTTCTCATGCAAACCAAAAGATACAAAGAAAATGAAAAAATTTGTTGAAATCCTCAAACTCCATTATGGATTCAAAAATTTACCTAATGACTATATTATACAAAAACCAAGACTGCCCATAGACCCCCTCTCCATAAAAACCTGATTAATTATACATTCCCAATACAGAACAAATCACTTGCAAAAAGCTTCATTGCTGAAATTGAAAATCAATACAAATTTACTATTCTACTACCAACTGAGTATATAATAGTTAACCCAACAGATAAACTGGACTTACTCGAGGATATAGCTGAAATCTTCAAATCAACCTAACTTTGCCCATCCTATCCCAAAAACTGCTTGTAGAAACAGCAAGAGAACTAAAAAAATTTTACTACTTCTTACAACTACCAAAATCTTAGATTGAAATATAATACAAATCAAACTATGATAATAGGCTATGAATTCTGTAATATATCGATGAACTCAAACTACAACTAGACCAAATCAATCCTAAACTAAAAGAAGCAATTCCTATTCAAGAAAGAACAATAGCAGCAAAAACTATAGAAAAGCTCAGATCCCATTTTCTAATCAATACTATTTCAGAATACTTACTAAAACTTCTAGATTTATTTAAACCTAATTGGGATATCTTCAATAACTATATCCTCTCAAACCCCTACAAAGCTCCCACAATATCTAAAAACTCAAACCCTAACCCCAACAATCAACCAATCACCTTCCCATTCTAATCTTACTATGAGTTTTACAACTACACTATCTGCCAACACACTATCTAATACAGCGAATAAATATAACACAAACTTTTCTTTATACTTAAATTTTGAAGAACAAATAAAAAACCTATCAATTGTCAACTACAATATACAAGACTTAAATAATGACACAAAACTAAAAAACTGGCTTAAATATTGCAATGAACATGAACACTATATTATTATAATAACCAAGACCAAACTATCTTAATTAACTACACCTCATATAGCTTTATCAAATCCATTGTACAAAATCTTTATGGTAAACTGCAACAAAGAAACTGCAATTCAACAAGAAGCAAGTCTCGGTATCGCAATTGCGATCAAACTATACCTGCAACCCTACATCCACAATATTCAACAAATTACTAGTCTACTCCTTACTATAGACTTTCACTTTCTCTACAAAAATCGACTACAAATTATCTTAGTCTACATCTCATCACAACCTAGCACAGCTACTAAAAAAGCTCAACAGCATGCAATGACACTCATTAAACAGGCTAAAGTGAACCAGATGTATATGATAGTCACTGGTGACTTCAATACTAATATTAATCAGTTAAATTCTAGTAACAAAGCATCTCGACTAACCTATCTTACTACAACAAGATTTATCAGCCTTCTAGATTTTTATGATATTACCAAACCTACCTGGCAATAAAATAACCAAACAAGCCAAATCGATGATATATAGACAAACCCAGAAATATCATTAGATTTTAAGATACCACAACTATATCACACATTAACTTCTACCAATAGTGATCACAAAATCCTTACAACTATATAGAACACCCATGGAGAATAGCTACTACAGCCCTACAAACAACAACAACCAATAACACAGTATCTTCACAGGTACTTACCTCACCCTGATTCT